TAGTTTGTTAATAGTGATGATTTTTATTTTTTAAGAATGTGTAATTTAAAAAAGGAAAAATCTTAAAATTTATATGTAAAATTATTTTATGGAAAAATTGCAGTCGAGATACCAAATCTTTCAATTAGTTGCAGACTTTACCCAAACCTTTAAAAAAATCACAGCCCAAGTTCAAAATAATGGTTTCCGTCAGTTTGACTCCAAAAACCGTCAGTTAACCCAGAAATAAAAAATCTAATAATTTTCTCCAAATAAGCTAAGGACATTTTGGACATAATACATTTCCCCATTATATCAAAAATTAAAAAAACAAAAAAAAAACCCCCCCCCCCCCCCCCCCACCCAAAAAAAAATAGTTTAAATAAGTCTACAGAATCACCTGAAGTTCGACACACAAACAGAACGAATTCCAGCATCTGCCGCTGCTCGGCATGCAACAGGAACAACATCTGAAACCTAGTAACATTTGTTACACGAATAAGAAGATTGCATTTGCATTATAAAAAATCAAACACATCTCTGTTTTAATTATTTCATACAATATCTTTTAAGTAAAGTTAATCCTAACAAAGAGTGCTTGTTTCTAAAATTCTTATAAAATAATTCCAATAAGAAAATCAGGCTAAAGTAGAAAGTATATCATTTTAAGCATGGTGGTACCACTAAATCAGCCTCGATAGATTTCAGCCATTCAATTTCTGTGGCCAAAATAGAAGCCCGAGGGACTACAGCCGTCTGGACATACTGGATTAAAAACAATTAAGCAAGAAAGAGTCAGTTAGAAAGTACATGAAAAAAAAAGGGGAGAATTAATAATTGTATTTGAGGAAACAACACACTCTTCCTAATTATTTCTATGAAATTGCTATACCTTTTCCAGTGAAGCAAGACGGTCAACAGTCAAGGCATCTGCTTGAACAGCTCCACAATCCAATAGCACCTGCAGACAAAATATGCTATTATTAGCCTGAAATATTGTATCTCACAGGAAAAAGGTTCATCTTAGATCCTCATAGAAGTGATTTTTGCCATACCATAAACTGTTGCGGATTATACCCTAATCCCTACTAGGCTCCTATCAAGGCAACATTAAGCAAAACAAAACAAAAAAACCCTAGGAAAGCAGACACAAAGGTTTATAGTGGTCCACCCTCATTCGTGCTGCAAGTTTTCACTATGAAAATGATTCATTAGTGATCTCACTTCTTCAGTCTGCATCTCATAGAAAATGGCTCCCTAAATAATCCTTTATATGCGTAGGCATGTTAAGTGGATGTGCACAGTCGAGGGCAAAGGTGTCCAATAGGATTAGGCTCCACAAGCAAACCATATATTTTACCAAGTTAAATTCACAATCCCAATGGGGAAAATGAAAAGTGCTATATGATTGTCAAGAGTATATAAAACTTTGCTTTAGAATATTTT